TAGTGTTTATCTTAGATATATTATATAAATGAAAAGAGTGGTTATTGACTTCCGATTCGTTGATATTCACCTCATTTTGGACTTATACAGTCTCTCATCCATCATTTTCCTTTTGGACCCTTGCATTGCATATATATATATATAGTTAATCAGTCTCCCTCTGAGCCACCAAACTTCAATTTGTCCTCCTATTTTATATCACATTTTTCTACGAGATCATTGGTAATTAGGATTAGGGGGATCTAATTAATTGACTTTGTGTTACACTAAGGAAAATAACACCTCAAAGTTTTCTCTCTCCACTACACTTTTCACAAAGTCAATCGCACATCTTCCATGACTCATATAAGTCTAGAAGATTACTTTATATAACTACGAAAATAAACCCAAAACTTATGAACCGATAATGACATATAACAAACTTAGTCAAAATTTTAAGTTAGAACAATACCGCATGGCTCATGCTTGCTTACTCATGATCACTATGAAAGATTCATTTACATGGACGAATATCAGATAAACATGAGAGGTAATTAGCAATATCATCAATAACCTTGATGCTATATATATATAGCCTTTAAAGGAAGGGATCTCCATTTTTTTTTAAAACTGGGGACATCTTTTTAACCGTTAGATTTGACTTTAATGAAATCCTGTGGTTGAGATTTTGTGGTCCGTGATTTAATCTCAGCCACAAAATTTCATTAAATTCAAATCTAATGATCAAGAAGGTGTCCCCAATTTTTTTTTTTTTGAAAAATGGAGATCTCTTCCCTTAAATGGACCAACTAATGTCTTTGCCAAGGCAAATTACCCTTCCGGAAGCTAAAATGACTCACAGAGGCATTTCAGCTTCCCCTGATCACCATCGTGTGATTCACCACTACAAAAAATCGAACCCAAGACGTGTCATGTAGAATACTACTTGAAATTCATCTCCAACCACATATTGAGCTACCCCATAATGGTTACTTGTCGCATATATATGACTTGAATATATGTTGACGCATGTGATTAGATTGAAGAAATATTCTCATGTCACATGATTTGAAAAGACAAATTCTCAAACGGTTAATCTAGACTCTTCATTGAATTAAGTCTAGTTTGAGGAGATTATAAAAATAAACATTAAATCACCCTAAAGAAGCATACTCTTGTTTTCAGAAAATGATTATAGTTCGAAAATGTTTTCAGAAATCAACACCACCGTCAAGCCACATTCTCTTGTCTGATAATAATTTGGTAAAACAATCTGTTATATTATGTTGTTAAACCATTAACCTGGGTTTTCGAGCCAACGCTATTCAAAATTCTTAATTCTATTATATGAGTCCAAAAATCATGTGGATAAAACGATTAAAAACGTACAAATTTAATCAGGAATTCCAAATCAGAGAGATATTTCTGAGCCAAAAAAATCAAGCAGAATAATCAGTTCCTGAACATTAGGCAATCTTGCTCGTTCTGGTGTCAGGTTGGTCTGCTATGATAGTTGGATCTCCCTCGTTATCCAAAAATTTTTCAGTTTGATTAGCAAACGAGATGGTATATCACGCGTTACTATATAAATGATGAGATATGTATGTTAAAAAGTTAATAACTTAAAAAATAAAAATTTTCATCAATTAGATAAAAATACGTGATGTACTACCGTGTTGAAAAATTAATCCGGATATAACCCATCTGAGTTTATCAGCAATTGTCGGCCCAGGCATTCACATCCCTGTACGCACATTACGAAGCGCGTGCTTCCACTCCCCCGCAATTGGTGCGATGCGTCCAGCAATTCGGGCGCGGGCCCGCGGGATTTGACAAATGCGCGTGGGGTCCACTTTCACTCGTGGATTTGGTCTTGTCTTGGACTGCCGTGGCAACGTGGGCGTTATCGCCTTCGTCCACAACCAGCCCGGTCCACCTGCGTATCGGTCCGAAAATGTTTAAACTGACCCGGGCCCACCTTTGGCAAATTAAATCGATTCACACACCTGTGTAAAGTTTGCAATCATTGTACGCTGGAATTCACGTTACCATCCGAGACTGGAACTTTTGGTAAAGTCGCTGACATCTCATGTTTTTATATAATATTACATAAAATTGGCGAGATAATTAATTTTAAATTATAAAATAACGGAGTAGTTTTAGACATTTTCATTTTGAGAAAATCATTTTCGTATTTCCTTTCAAATTATGTACCAATAATGAATGAAAGAAAATGTTCTATTGTCAAACGATTTAATTATTTGTATTAGTGTGTGATTATAATGCATGACCCTAATTCTAAAGATGGACTCACGTACTCCATGTGTGAAAATCACAAAAGATTATTAAATTATGAATTTAGGAGAAATCGTTGTTGAACATTTATCCAAAGGCTATTGTCAACTTTTGTTAATTTGACGTGATGTCTGTGGCAATCTGAGCCTCTAGTGGTGTTTTTCCATCATCCATACGTTTTGTAAATCCAATGGCGGCTTTAGGGGTGGAGATCCGGATCTCTTTTACCTAATTATCCTTATCAAATAATTGAGATTCTTAAAATTTGATCCAACTGTTAAAAATAGGGGTTCACTTTAAAAGTTTTAATAACTTTAGTCGTTGGATCAAATTTCAAGAGTCTAGATTATTTGATGAGAATGATTATGTATAAGCGATCCGAAAATAATCCCTTTTCCCTTGGGAAGATCGAAAAGTGCAATCGCATGTGCCTCTAAATTTAAAGGAGCTATCAAAAAGAATTCGTCATTGAATATTTATATGTAAAAATGTTATACATTTTTTAAAAAAAAGTTTCTTTTATTAGAACTTTAAAATCGTATTGTGCATTTTTCATAAGTGCAAATATTTTTGTTCTAAATATAAAATTTCGAGCACATGATGAAATATTTTGAGTGTCAATAACATCCAAAAAGCGATTTGTTTTCATTATATATAATCCAATATACTAAAGTGGAACATTAAAGTTAGAGTTTTGAAGCTTTTTTTTCTTGTTTGATTGTTTAAGATTGAATTGTTTTTAATTATTTACTGAAAGTTATGCTTGCGGTTGTTTTTACTTGTTATTATATATGAACTTATATCAATGAGTTCTAAAGTTTGATTTGATTTAAATTATTGTTTTCTAGCATCAATACATTATCCTATATTTTTGAAAACTACCTTAAGAAGGAGGGACTCTTTTATAAACTCGCACAGGGCTCCCGAAATCTTAGAGACATTCCTATGTAAACCAAACCAAATCCCAAATTATATTTGTGGAGTAGAAAAAGCAACATGTTGTGTGATAAGTGCTTTACTCACAAGCACTTTTATAGCGCTTCATATAAGCACTCCATGACCAACAATTTGGTATGCAAAAACAAAAATAAAAAACCCAACAAGTTTAGGGCTCTCTCGATCCATTTATAAGGGAAAATGATTTTTATACACTTTTTTTTTTCATTTTGTCAATTATGTTTATTTTTTAATTTTAATTATTTTCTACTTTCTTTGAGTCGCAAAAAAGTAACGGTGTGGTGTGCATGAAAGAAAAAGTGTGAAAATTATTTGTTATTTGATATTTGTTTAACTTGTGACGCAAGCAAAAGAGGTGTTATGTTGCATGTCCCATGGCAGTCTTCTTCACGGGTCAGTTGTTTAGTGTTTATAAGCCCTTCCTCCTCCATCTTCTACGTTTAAGTCAACGGAAGCTTTGATAATCAATCATATTACCATTTTTACTGCTCAAAAAGATGGAAAAAGGAGAGAAAAGATGTTTTTTAATATGAGCTCGTTTGGGAAGTGCTTTTAAATGATTGCAAGCATTTTTAGATAAAACTTGTTCGAAGTGCTTCTTCACTAGTTCCAAAAACTTTTTTTTTTAAAGCGTTTTCAATTATTTAAGGGCTCGTCTGAAAATACATTTGAAATGACTGAAAACACTTTTATGAAAGTGCTTTTGTAATCAATTCTTAGTAAAAATGCAAGTGAATAATGGAAAAAACACCTTAAGTGCTTCCTGCAAAAAGCGTATACTTGGTGCTTCTTCCATCATGGAAAACCAATTTCATAAAAAATACTTTCATTCATTTTAAAAGTACTACCAAACAAGTCATAAAAGGAGGAGCCATATAACTTGTAAAAAATCATAAACACATATATCTTAAAGTTATGTAGAATTAGTTTTTTGGTTGAAACAAGTTTGTGAATTTGTTGAAACAAGTTTGACATTTTCGAAAAGTAAATGTGGCATTCTTATCCATAGAAGGTCATGACTCATAAATATCAAAAGCGCGCGTGGTCCTGTTATTTCCGTTATTTCTTATATTTTGTCATTTTATTCTGTTTTTTACTCCCCCCATTTTATTCTCCCTTTTTTTTTTTCAATAAAACAATATTTATTTAAAAAAATGAATAGTTTTCACATAATATTTTTACTGTGGTGTGTTATCTACACACTTACTTTTACTTATTACACACTCCATCTCAATTTTAGATTGTCAGATCAAATGAATTGAAAAATAATAATGATAAAAAATTAACAAGGATATGTGAAAAATAAAAAGAAATATGTGAATACTCTCTTATTTTTCTCTTCATACACACCTGGTCATTTTGGTTGGAAAAAAACTGGCGAGATGATTTTAAACAGAAACGTACTGAAGAAAATAAAAATGTGTAAAAATCATTTTCCGGGAATTTTCTCTAGAGCTAAAACTATTGTTATATATAACCACTATAGGGTGACTCAGTGGTTAGGACTAGTTCAAAGCACGTATTTCACGCGACACGTCATGGATCCAATTTTTGCTCTAAAATGTTGAATTCTATGAGTTTTTTCAATCCCGAAAGAGTAGACTGCCTTCGCCACTATCTGATCCTCTTTAAAATATATATATATATATATATATATATATATATATATATAACCATTGTTATATATCAATACAAACTTTACAAAAGGCGATCATTTATTGGTTATTCTGGTTTCGATTTAGATTCACATAAAAGTTGCAGCTGTTGCTGTTGTCGCATACAAGTGCCTTTTTTTTATTTAATTTAAAAAATAATTTTCCATTTCTTGTCCTATTTTATTTTCCTTAAATGTACATATTCACCCGCACGTATATTACAAGTTAATTCCTTTGTTGCTCTTTCTACCTCCGAAATAAACGGGCTTCTCAGAAAAAAAAAGAAAAAAAAAAAAGTTTCTGTTTCCTTTCATTTGTCTCCTAAATATCTTTTTACAGCGTGTTTGTTCGATCCCATTGCTCTCTAGAAACTGCTCCTGAATTTTATGGGCAGTTTTTAGTTACTGGTGCAGGAGAACATACAAGCTTCTTCCTGTTTCTTCAAGCCCAGGTACATATCATTTCTTCATTTTATTTTTCCTTTATTTTTTCTTTGTTTTTTAATCCAATTTTTCAAATTCTATTGGATTAAAACTGAATGAGAAATTGGGATGTGTTGGGAAAAGTGCAGCAACAAAAACCCATAATTTGTTTTTGTGATTTTGTGTTTTTTTTTTTTTTGGTTGAAGATGGGACCGATTGGTAGAGCTCTGGTTTTTTGTTGTGGAAACAGGGCAGTGATTTGGGGTGGAGGAGAATTCAGAACCAGAGGTGTGAGATAGAAGACGATTTCGAAGGCCTTGGCTTTGCTGGAATTCAGGGGATTTTAGAAGATTTTTTGAATTTATTTGACTTGGTTTGAAGAAATGATGACTGTTTTGGATCAAAACTTCAATTTTTGATCTGGTTTTTGCGGGAAAGAAGAGGAGAATTTCTTCAATCGTTGGCGTTAGAATTAGCTTGTGGAGGACAGAGAGAGAAAAACAGATACAGAGAGAGAAAGAAGGGGGATATTTTTGTAACTTACTGTAATGGAGGCAGAGGCGGCCTCGGCTGAGCAGCCGCAGGCGGCGGCGCAGCCAACCTTGCCCCGGAAGAAGATGACGAAGCAGTTAACAGGAAAGCGCGATGATACGCCTTTGCATTCCGGAGTGAGGTCAGGAAACATGGCCGTGGTGATGGATATCCTTGAAAATACAGAAGAGGGTGCGTTGAAGGAGTTATTGACAAAGCAGAACTCATCTGATGAAACAGCACTATATGTTGCTGCAGAATATGGTTATGTTGATTTGGTCAGGGAGATGATCAAGTGCTACGATCTCTCTGACGCCGGAATCAAAGCGAGAAACGGGTTTGATGCGTTCCACATTGCTGCCAAACAAGGGGATATGGGTATGTCTCTGGTCTACCATGAGACCTTTCGGTTATTTTTTTCATTTTTCGTGTTATGTTGTTTTCGGCGGCAGATTAATGTTTTGGGTTTTTTGCAGATGTGTTGAATGTGCTTATGGAGGCTCATCCGGAATTGACCATGACAGTGGATCTATCAAACACCACGGCTTTGCACACGGCTGCGGCGCAAGGGCATATCGAGGTGGTGAGCTTTCTGTTGGAAGCAGGAAGCAGCCTGGCAACCATTGCTAAAAGTAATGGCAAGACCGCGCTGCATTCTGCGGCGAGAAATGGTCATTTGGAGGTTCTGAAAGCGCTTTTGGACAAGGAGCCTGGTATCGCAACACGTGTGGATAAGAAGGGGCAAACGGCACTTCACATGGCGGCTAAGGGGCAGAATCTTGAGGTGGTGGAGCAGTTGATTAACGCAGATCCTTCCTTGATAAACATGGCGGATAACAAAGACAATACCGCATTGCATATTGCTACTCGGAAGGGTAGAGGGGAGGTAAACTGACCTTTTCCCTGACCACTATGAGTTTTCATGTTTTATTAGTTGAGTAGAATGCATCATAGCAATAATGATTTGCTTTCAACAAAATTCTTCACATTCTATGCCTATAGCATTGTAGCCTATAGCCTATGTTATGTTCGGATGCTCTCGTCTGCTGGATTTTATGCATTGCTATAGCGCAATGGACCGCTAGATCTCGATCTTCTGGAAAAATAGTAGTCTTGTATAAACTTACCTTCATTAAGTTTTGTAATTTGGGCATCTTAGTCGCTTTTTTTTGGTGCATATCCGGGTTGTCTCCCCACAATGTTACAAATTCTACCTTTGTTAGGTTTTGTAGGTACGCTTCTTTTACCTTTGATTGGCTCATCGGATGAATTTATGACCCCTTTTACCAAATTACAGAGAGATTGTATGTTTCAATCTTACGAGCATAATGCCGGTTATATGTGTGCAGATTGTGAAGATACTACTCGAACACAGTGAAACCAACACAAAGGCAGTAAACAAGTCTGCAGAAACTGCCCTTGACACTGCCGAGAAAACTGGGAACTCGGACATTAAAGCTTTTCTCCAAGAGCGCGGTGTCCAGAGTGCTAAAGAAATCAAGCCACAAGCAAGAAACCCAGCTCGAGAGCTGAAACAAACGGTGAGTGACATCAAGCACGAAGTCCACCACCAGCTAGAACACACTCGCCAAACCAGAAGACGCGTCCAAGGCATTGCCAAACGCCTTCACAAAATGCACTCGGAAGGCCTCAACAATGCCATAAACTCAAACACTGTCGTGGCTGTCCTCATTGCCACGGTCACCTTTGCAGCAATTTTCCAAATCCCTGGCCAATACGTTGATGACCCTGAAGACATTCCCAAGGGGCAGTCACTTGGCGAGGCAAACATTGCTCCCAAACTCGCCTTCATAATCTTCTTCATCTTCGACTCCATTGCGCTTTTCATTTCTCTTGCTGTCGTGGTGGTGCAAACTTCAGTGGTGGTAATCGAGAGCAAGGCGAAGAAGCAGATGATGGCGATCATGAACAAGCTGATGTGGTTGGCTTGCGTGCTTGTTTCCGTGGCATTTTTGGCGCTCTCTTTCGTTGTGGTGGGTGAACAGAAGTGGCTAGCAATTGGAGTAACAATCATAGGAACTGTAATTATGGCTGCAACTTTGGGGACTATGTGTTTCTGGGTAGTTAGGCATCGGATTGAGGCGAAAAACATGAGGAGCATTCAGAGAACATCGTTGGACAGCAGATCGCGGTCGTGGTCGTTGTCTGCAGTAATGTCTGAATCTGAGCTCCTCAACAATGACTATAAGAAAATGTATGCAATTTGAAACTACTTCCACAAACACGCCTGCCACATTTTTTGGGTTCTTGGTTTTCCAGCATTGGGCCCAACAGGTGTAACTATTATATAATTAACTTCAAAAATGCATATTTTCGAAGGAGTTGATCATTTTTTTTTTGGAACTGTTATTACCATTCTAAAATCTCATTCTGCGTTGTATTTTTCTTTCCAAATATAGAAAATTTGGAGTGTAAAATGAGAATGTTAAGTGCTAATAATGATTCTCTTTTTTTTCTCCTTCATAAGTTTTTGGGTTTTTGGTCAATTACATCAGATAAAAATAGAACTAGAGATGACAATTCAAACTGTTAAACTCGATAATCGTGGATAATGTTTGAATGGAATGGATTTGGGGATGAAAATCGGTTATATTTTGAATATGAGGAAAACCAAAAATTTACCGGTTATGGTTTCAGATGTTGTTATAGGGGTTTCCGATCTGTATCATTCTTCAAATCCGATCCGAATAATACAATTATATTCACCGAATTCATTACCTTGAGAATTACAAAAGTTGCGTTTTTGTGGGAAAGTTCAAAAGTTTCGAATTAAAACCAATGAGAACTTAATGGTGCTTATGGGAGAGATCAATGGGAGAGATCAAACATCACCAACATCACCAATGTATCTATTATATTATAATGAGAAAATTAATATCTATTATATTATAATGCGTCAACTGAACAAATATATATTTTTGATATTAATGAAAATGAGTTCTGTTAACCGATGGGAAATTTGTTACCCAGTGGGTATAGTTATGGATAATCCCCGATGGTTAATTTGTGGTTATTGGGATGGATATAGTATTTTAGTCCCCAAATGGAATCGTTGCCACCCCTAAATAGGAACAATGTAACCACCACCCCTAGTGACTGGGGACAGATTTCAAACCCGTATTTCACACAGCATGTTCTGAGTTCGACTTCTAGCGCTAATGAATCATATAATGGTGGTCAGGGGAGGCTAAAATACCTATGTGAGTCTTTCCCTCCCAAAAAAAAAAAAAAAGATTGTCATAACGAAACCACCCACTAATCTCTTTTTAATTTTTTTTTTAATTTTCAAAAAGGAACAATGTGTCTAAATTAAGAGAATATTGGCATTCATGAATTTGACAAGAGGGGGCAATTATAGTGAGACAATACATTTAATGTACCCTTTATATATATTATCGTGCTGAGTTTACTATTTAGGCATGTGATGATAATAATTATTAAAAATTAAAATATGTCGATGTTTAAACAATTTAACTACTCCAACGTTTAGACCATGCTTTATTGATTACAGTGTTAATCACATTTCAAGAGAATGATTCTTTACCCTCCTAATCTCTTTATCTTTTCATGCTATCTTATTTGAACGATCACGGTTAAGTCATATCAATATCTTATATTGATTTTTTTATTTATTGAGATAATAAGACAAAAAAAAACAATGTGTGAGAGGAGGAGTAGAAGGGGATGAGAATAGGAGGGTAGAGAATCCTCCTCCCACATTTCATGTGAAAGTTTTGATTCACGTTTAGTCCAAGTATAAGGGTTGGTGTCACTTTTATAAGATGACACAGCGGTGGAGCCAATGTGCGGCAATGTGTCACATCTAGTCTGCATAGTAAGATATTGTCCGTCTTGGACCACACTCTCACGGATTTGTTCTTGGCTTACACCCAAAACACGTCTCACTATAGGAGGTTGTCATGTACATATAAAGTACATCACCTCCTCTCCCCCGGGTGATGTGGAATCTTACAATCCACCCACCTTAGGGGCCCAACATCCTTGTCGGTACGCTTTCGGCTGGAGAGTAGCTCTGATACCAAATTGTCACATCCAGTCCATATAGTAAGATATTGTCCACTTTGGGCCACACCCTCACTGATTTGTTATTGGGTTTACACCTAAAACAGGTCTCACTAGAGGGAGGTGGGCATGTACATATAAGGCACATCACCTCCTCTTTCCCGAACGATGTGAGATCTTACACAATGGCTATTACCTACCCCAATAACATATAAAATCCTTACTTTGAAATTTGGTTTGACGCTTATACTAGCTAAGATAAATGAAATACAGAGACCTTTAATCAATATTTTTTAAATTGACATAAATCAAAACTACGTCATTTGTGTTCTGTTTCACTTAAAAAAAAGAGAGTTTAGCATGCTAACTCTCAAATAAGCTGAATACTTATCAAATACGCAAACACCTCCTCCACTCAAACTTCATATCTTCTAATTCAAAGCTTCTTCAGTGTTCAGGTTCTGTCAAACACCTTCCTTGCACGCAGTTGTATCACGGAATCCCAATTATATCAGTATTTTTATCATCTTGGGTTCATTGGGATTTTTACGATTATTGTGTTGAGTGATTGACATGAACTAACTTTTATAAAAAAAAAAAAAAAAAAATACAATTACCAATGTGATCAGTAAACGCAATTTTACGGTACGTTCAGCCCTAGACAGAAACACAAACACTTGGATGCATGATTGAGAAATATTAGGAACCACATGATAATGCAAGTAGTCATTTGTCGAGGCGGCTGCCAAAATGGACCCCTCTATTGTCCCCCAGTTGCAAATAGGGGACAGTGGGATATTCTGTTGCAGGATGGTCCTCTAAATTCTTTTATTTATTTTTCTTTTCCGGATACCAAAAGAAACAAATATTATACAACATGGGCCTTCTAATGGGCTTCAAGCCCAATTCACAAAGACGCCCAATAGAATCCAGATTCTCCTGAGAAACGGATATTTTCAGGGCAGCCCAATGAAAACCCGTTTTGTGAGAAACGGGTATACGAGATCATTCGGGTCGAAACGTCGAACAAGAAGAATAACACAAGCAAAGGGCCTCTCTCTCTCGTCGACTCAGAGACGGTGATATGGACGACGAATTGCTGGAACTGCAGAGGCAATTCGAGTTCGCACAGCAGGCGAAATCGAGCATCAGATTATCCGATCGAAACGTCGTCGAATTGGTCCAGAAGCTTCAGGAGCTGCATATCATCGACTTCGAGCTTCTCCACACCGTCACCGGCAAAGAATACATTACTCCCGTAAACCTCTCTCTCTCTCTATATCTTTCTGTTTGTTTCTCAAGAAAATAGACGAGAAATCATCTAAAGAAACTTTCTTTACTTTTTTTTTATTTCGGTCATCGAAAACGGCATTTCAGTTTGAATTTCATCGCAATTCAAATTAATATTGTGTTTAATTATTAATTATTTGTGCTATTGTTGTTATTTTATTGGATACGATATTTGCATTTGTAATTTGAGTACTGAGTGTGGTTTCTGGCTTAAAGATTTGAATTTGATGATGGTGGTGGTGTGGTAATGATAGGATCAATTGAGGAATGAGTTATCGGCGGAGGTCAGTAAACTAGGGCGTGTTTCGTTGATTGACCTGGCGGACGCTACCGGAGTTGATTTGTATCATGTTGAGAAGCAAGCTCAACATGTTGTTTCGGATGATCTGGGGCTTATGTTGATTCAAGGGGAAATAATATCGCAGTCTTATTGGGATTCTGTCGCCGAAGAAGTCAATGACAGGCTTCAAGAGTGTAGCCAAATCGCTCTGGCAGAACTTGCCGCGCAGTTGCATGTCAGTTCGGAAATGGTGGCATCTGTGTTGGAGCCCCGCCTTGGGACTTTGGTAACTACTTTCCCTGGTTTTGAGTGATTTTGGAATTGAGGAAAGGAAAATTATGATATGGGTTGTTCTCTTGATTCAGGTGAAAGGTAGGCTTGAAGGTGGGCAATTGTATACACCTGCATATGTTGCACGGGTTACTGCCATGGTTCGTGGTGCTGCCAGAGGTATCGCAGTTCCCACAAACTTATCATTGTTGTGGAGTTCTTTACAGCAGTTGCTGCAAGAAATGGATGGAGGGAGTGGAGTGGCTGTAGAAGGTTCTTTTTTCCAGTCCCTATTTAATGGGCTTGTAAAGGAAGGACAGCTTCTTGGATCACTTCGCGCAGGAGTTCATTGGACACCTAATGTATGTGTCATATTCTTGTTTCATTTGGTTTCGGTGCTTCGATTTCATTGCATATGATGACTGGAGTAAAAACTGCATACTCTGATTAACATCGACTTCTGTAATGTTCCAGCACAAACTTGCAGAACCATTAGCTTTGTTATTACAGAATCACTTCCCATAGACTTTTTGGCTTTCTATCAAAGAAACATATTTTCTTTAAAGCTGACTATATATCTAAATTATTTGTAAATTTCGTGCAGGTATTTGCCATTGCTCAAAAGGAATCAATTGATTCTTTCTTTTCACAGGTATGAAGCCCTTTTCTCCCTCCTATTTGTAAAAACGTGGTGTCCAAAAACCTTCAGATGCTTCCTGAACTTCAAATTTAACATGTACTCCTAATTGCATGCTCAGTTATATGTTTTAGTTTCAGCCTCTGATTTGGCCTTTTACTTTTCTTTTCAACGAGTGTAGTATGTGGCATTTAGCACTGTTTTTGTATGTGTAGAGTGTCAAGGTTACTGGTAGCTTCTCAGTTCAAGGCTTGGACCTTTTCAATGAATTTGTGGTTGCATAATTTTCTGGGAAACCAAAGTTCAATACATTTTGTGTGATTTCGACCATTTCTTTTTGGTTTGAAATAGGGAAGAACATTCTTAGATGTTGATGATTCTTTCTTCTGACTTGTTCTTCAATTTCCTGCAGAATTCTTTCATTAACTATGATGTTCTGCACAAACTTAGAATTCCTCAGCCTATTCAGTTCTTGCAGGTATCTAATTGCTTTCATGTTGACGTTCTGATTTTGGAGCTTATAGGGTTTATATGTGAAGTCATTGCCTATTTCTCTTATTTTTTATGTAATTAAAATTTGTGGTTGTGCACTTGAATTTAGTCCAGATATCCAGAAGGCATACCTTTGGTTACTACATTTGTTCACCCCTCAATGATTGAGATGCTTGATGCTGCTACGGAAGATGCTCTTGAACGTGATAGCTGGTAAACTTCTCTACTATTTTTATGAATACTTTACTTTTATATATGAGTTAATTTCATCACCTATTAAAACCTTAGTACGAAAATTTATCCCTTGACACTGTACCTTTTCCATTTCTTACTCTTTGTGCCTCTAATTAGATAGCTTTCATGAGTGGGCAAAGTGGCCATTTATTGTAGTGATAGTGCTATTTCTTTTCTTTCGGGTTTGGAATTTTTTAGCTGAAGGCCATTTAATCTGTTGTTTCACTGAAATTCTTTTAATTGAAACAGTACTTAAATTCATCAAGATGTTTTTCGTGGATTAGATAGATATAGAAAGCTGTTTTAACAATGTTCTTGGATGTGTTTCCATTATACTGTTATGTTAAGGTTGGCATTACATTTTTATTTCCTGATATGATTGGATGGAGCAATGCAGGATCGATTCTCTTTCTATACTGCCGATGTCCTTTGGGTCTCAAGATGCATCTAAACTTTTGTCCCTTTGCCCTTCCATTCAGCAGGGTCTCAAGGTGCCTTTCTGATATCAAGTCTGCTCTTCTACTCATACACTTGATCTGTCAAACTCTTATGTGCCTCATCTTTTGCAGTCTGATAGAGCAATAATATTCGGGGACTCGTATGTGTTTAGCAGTGGCTTTATCAAGGTATGTCCATTGAAGTATATTATAAAACTAGTTACTTTTAGGATCCAGGTCCCTGATAGGTATTTTTATTATCTAAGGTCTAATGGCTAAAACTCTTAAGTTGAGTTCAAGTAGAAAAGTAAAATGCTGACATATATTGCATACCCAAAAACAACAAAAGTTACAAACATGGCATTGACACTTTTGCTATTCATAAAATCTATTCTGTTTTTCAGAAGCATGTTGTTTATTTGAGATCTATTGATGATGATTATTGGATTTTACGAATGACAAATTTACAATACAGAAAATCTATTGTGCATTTTATTTATCCAAAAAAAATGTCTGACTAGGGGCATCAGGCTAATTAAATATGATTTTAATCACAAGTTTGCACATTTGCACCTGGTGTTTTCATCAATGTTAAACTGAATTACTTGTGAACCATCAGCCATAAATCTCTTATACCCTCCCTGTACATTTACAATTTCTTGCCTGAAAAGTGATTATCTTTAGAAATATAAATGAATTTAATTTGCCAAAAAATGAGCAAGAACCTGGTTTTTATGTTTACTGTAGAAGTAAAGATGTGGGACTCGTGGACTTTCTGACTTCTAGAGGTCTTCGGTGTGACTTTAAGCATTTCTACACCTCTTTTTGGTTTATGAATTCTGATGCTTTGAGTATATGTCCTCATGGCAGGATGTGTATGATCTCCTAGAGAAAGAAATGGAAACCTTTAGTGTTTCAGTTCCTTCCAGTACTGTGGTGTCAGATGATTTGCGTGAGACAAAAATTGGTCATGACACAAGCAGGTCCACTGAGTCAAATGAAACTGTTAGTGACAGCAGCAGTAATAAACAGGCAATGGAGACAGGATCAAAAAAGAAAAAAGGTAGAGGGGCTGGGAACATGATGACAGGGCCAGCTGAGAGTGAGCTGGCCAACCAGGACAATGTTCCTACGAAATCTAAGAAAAACCAAAGGAAAGGCAAGAATATCTCTTCCGGGCAGGCTGCAGAGTCAAAAGCAGCTGCTAAGTTGGGGAAAATAAAAGAGGAAAATCTCAACGTCCCTTCAGAAGATTGGGTAATGAATAAGATTACAGCGCTAGTACCTGATTTTGAAGAACAAGGTCTGTTGATTCTGACTTCAGCTACTTTGTTCATTTAATCATTTAGACCTAATGCCATGAGTTTCGAACCCAGTGTTGATAGAAGCAGTGGACTAATTTGATAGGTCTTGATGGTCCCCAAACAATTCTTGGACCTTTGGCACACTATTTGAGGCCTAAGTTAATCAACTCCTGGAAGGAGAGAAGAAAGGCATTGTTTACAGAAAACGCGGAGAGAATGAAGAACTTGCTTGATAATTTGCAAAAGAAACTTGATGAGGTAATAAACTCTTGCAAGGCTGCAACGACTATATTTTTTGTTCAATTCCTTAGTTCTTGCATTGGGTATTCTCTTGGAGTATAAGAGGCATCTTTTAGTAAGGTGCTTTTTGGAACCTTGTAATTTAGAATCTTCATTGTGCTAAACTGCCTTTTCTTCCGTGCAGTTTTTCTTAAATATGCAGCTTTATGAAAAGGCTTTAGATTTGTTTGAAGATGACCAATCAACCTCAGTAAGTTTTCCCTCTAGTGATGCGTATTAAATGGTTTCAGTTGGTGATACAATGGACTAAAGAAGGCTCATCTATGAATTATGATTGACAGGTCATTTTTCACCGGCATCTGTTAAGAACAACAGCTACTACAATTGCCGATATACTTCTTCACAATTTGGTAGCTTTTTTTCATTGTGATCTTGTTATGTTCATGGTCACAATATGTACATGTATACCCATATTAAATGGTCACCATATGCATGTAGCTGAGCTGTTTCACGGATTTTAAATGATGGATACCTATGATGTAGGACATGCACAACAAATTGAAGAATGGAGTTGAAGAAGTTGCCGAGCCTCAAATTTCAGAATCTATTTCCCTCAGTGCGGGAGAGAGAACTTCCATTGTAGGAAATAATCTACTACCTGATGTTAATTTTGACATTTCCAGAGAGTAGTTTGTCATTTTCTTTCATAAATATGGAACCTGTCAATCACGTTATCCAATAAAAAAACTCAAGGTAAGCAACAGTTTTATGGCCTTTTGGTTTTTTGCAGGCCAAGAATTTTCCTGGATCTCTTTCAAACAAGGCTCTTGCTGTAGTTGAAGCATTGGAAGGAAAGGTCAGTTCTTATTTGGTAGAAACACGTTGATTTCTTGTTTCTTGGACCTATCTGGATCGATTAATTACAAATCTTGTGCTGATTTTTCTGTTTAATGTTGGGTATATAATTATGTATTTCTATTTTATTGATAGATATTCCTTTATTCAGTGATTTTCATTTTTCTTAACTATTTTAGGTTGCATCCTTAGTGGATTCAGTACTTTGTTTCTGATTTCTAAACTCTTCTGGTTCTGCAGAGTTTGCATTCATTTTATTATTATTTTGTATGTAAGTTAAGCACTCAACACCAGTTCAGTTTATAGATTGAGATCTTAGAGTCTGTTTCCATTTCTTTGTATGCAATGTTCAAGGAAGAGCTGATTATTTCTATCTCTGAAGGTTACCCATTATTTAATGAGTTGAAAGCTTGGAATGTTATTTTTTGCGGAAAGTTTTTGTTTAGTTGCAATTATTATAATTCGTATCTTTGCTTATCTGCCTGATACATCTTATATACTTTTGATGAAATCAAAACTTTGTATGTATTACACTGTTACTCAACTCCGTCAACTTACAACAATGACTTCACATGTTGAATGTTCTACATGGCAGCGGGTGGAAACATTCATGACTGCTCTAAGAGATATTGCAGAAGAGAGGTATTTGCATGCTTATTTATTTGTCTTTGTGATGGGTTCGTTGAAGCACTTATTTTTCTCTGAAGCTAATATAAACGTTTGGGTTTAAATTTTCTAGCGGCTTGCTCTTGAAAAAGCTTGACAAGAAATTGGAAAGAACGCTTCTGCATTCATATCAGAAGGTTTTGCTCTTGTATAAGGAATTGTCAAATCTATAATCCACAAACAGCTAGATGTGTAACTTGATCATATGGAGATGAAAATTACCTTTTACAGTTTTCTTCTATCTGTATCATTTTCAGGATTTGGTGTCTCAAGTTTCTGCTGAGACAGATCCAGTTCCTCTTTTGCCAAAAGTTGTTTCCCTGATTTACGTTCAGGTTTGTTAATTTTTGTTGCTACCAGATTCAGTACAATACATGCATTCATGCTTCGTGTTTCTTGTCCAGTTTAGTAACATGAATTTTCATATGTAGGTTCACCATAAAGCTCTTCAAGCACCTGGAAGGGCCATCGCTGTTGCTGTTTCACGGCTGAAGGTACGCTTTTTATTTTTGAAGGGAGTTTTCACTGCTAACTTCTCCTACAAGTTGTACATATTTGCAGTATGTCTAGCCAAGATGATTATCCTAGCAGTATAGTTTTGACAAGATATTACTATATATCTCCGTTCTTTTCAATAAATTATAATACTTGATCCAGTTAACAACTGGGAGAAAAAGAAAGAGACAAGATATGGTGGTTAATTTTGGATTTTATTTATTTTGGTGATGTGATTTGCTACACAAGATCTGTTGAGTAGCATGTTCCAATATTCAAGTCACCATAGAAACTACACTTTTTTAAAGTGAACTTAAGGAACTGAAAGCAAGGAAGTGTACCCTTACTAGAGGAGTTCCTACGATTAATTTTTTTTTCATTTGAATAAAAGGGTACAGTGGTCAACATAAACAGTCTTCCTGCCCTTTTTTCTCGTACATCCGATTAAAGGAAACTTCCTATCTTCTCTCTTAAACAAAAGACATCACATCTCCCTATTCTGTCTTATTTTCCTCAACAGAAATCATCATCTCATTTCTTTTCCGTATTGAATGCCCAATCAATGTATAAGGACACATTAATAGCTCTGCTAATTGCTTCAGAGAGAACGTTGCTGGTACTTCGCTATTACTGAGCTCCAACGATGCTCTGGCTCCCTGTATTTGTGTGCATATTGTTTCCAGTATTCTGTTCCTAATAACAACACAACTTTTTTTCAGGATAAACTGGATGAATCAGCCTTCAAGATCTTGACAGATTATCAAACTACAACAGTGACCCTGTTAACGTTAATATCTGGTGCAAGTGGAGAGGTGAGTAGTTATTTTGCAGTTTTCTAGTTAGATACTTGGTGTATGCAATGATAAAAATTGATCCATAAATTTTCATCCCTGAGCCAATATTTTATAGCACTTAAAAGTTTTTCTTCAAGGGGAAGTGGGCCTCTACCACAGTGGTGGGGAGGAGTGTTGCCTTTGCACCACGGTATGGGTTTGAACCCCGTTAGCTTCCTAATCTAACAAATCTATCGTTTGATAAAAAAAAAAAAATCTTCAAGGAGTTCATAAATAGTAGAATATTGTATCATCCGATAAAATGTGCAGCTTTACTCTTAAATTTTTCTAAATTTCTTTACCGTCTCGTTGAAGTCTTAGTTAATCTTATGCTAGTCGTCGGACTCATTACTTAATTTAATGTACGCAATCTCTGTTTGCATCAGGAAGAAGATTGTTCATCTGATAGAATTTTGAGCAAAAGGGAGCTTTTGGAGACTCAAATGCCTGCACTCAAAGGCCTGGTCTTACGCACCTCACAATCCTGACCCTGACGTGAAATCTTGTTTCCGAAAGTGAAATGAACCTCTGAAAACATAGTGGAATGCTTCAAATTAGAGATTAGCGTTCATATGTTAGTGTTTAAATATCATTACTACATCAATATCTTGTAAAAAAGAAAGATTATTAAGGAAGGCTTAGAAATTAGTAGATCCCTTGTGGGGGTCAGTCTTGAATTTGGCATGGATGCTGGTTGAGTTTTGGTATGATTTAACATTAAAGAACTGAGAAATTTTATGTTCTGAATACACTTGGCACGCCCGGACCGGGCTTTGGTGGAAAGTAACCCCACATCTTGTGAGAGATCTTTCAATGTATCTGGAACACAAGGTGATACACTACATGTTATTATACAAGTAATGAGGCACTTATGTTACAAACTTAACAACTTACAAAATAAAATTTCTTCTTACTTATACAATGACACGTGATGTACCATTCGTGTTTCGAATACACTTTGTGTTGTGTTGAGAATATTTAAAATTATGGTGAACTTTTTGTAATTCATTTCTTACTAATTTAATCGCAATCGTTTGCAACTTGACAATCCATCACCCAAACAAAGACTAGAAAACAAATGAAGGGGCCAATAATAATATAAGACTGTTTTTTATATTATTGGTTGAGGAAATTAAATAATAGTGCATAGCAACATAGCACGAAACGCGGTGTAGAAAATAAATTTAATCATTGCAATAATAAATATGTAGTGGGTAACTTCAACAAGAAGGCATGGTAAATATTCATTTTTTTTAGCATAAGTACGGTATTCATTAATAATATATATAGACTAAGAATGCAACCTCCAAAAGAGATTAAGAATGTAATTTGGTTTAAAACAACATATCACTCATGGTCAAATAAAATACGTATATGTTTTGGGATGGCAAGATTCAAAGTTTTCATTTGATAATCGAGGAAAGTAGCTTTTGCATTTATTTTGGTTGAGGCTTTTACATTTTTTGTTGTTGAAGTTAGAATTGAGATTGATAGTGATGTATCAAATTGAATTTTAACTTGTGTTGACGTGATTTGATTTAAATTTAAAAAAAATCTATAAATATAAAGTAGAATTGAGTTTGATAAATAAAAAGGAAAATAATGAAAAAATGTTTTAAAACTTTGAATCTTAACTAAAGACACTTCAATAACTTTATTTAATGGTTAGGACTAAAAATAAAAAATTAAAAAAAAAATAACAAAAACACAAATTAATCAATCGTGGGTCTCCACTTGGCTGGCTGGCTACATTATAGCCATGCACGCCAAAAATTGGGTTGTTGCCCTCGGAACTAGATCCCTTCCTGAGCATGGGGACCAGAGTCTGCTGAGCAGCCCATCTAGGTCCTTGAAATTTAATCCAACAGTTGTAATTAGTATAACTTTTAGAGGGGCCCCCTGTTTGTAGCCGTTGGATCAAATTTCAAGGGCCCAGATAGGCTGCTCAGCTGACTCCGGTCCCCATGCTTAGGAGGGGATCCAGTTCCGTTGCCCTCCTTTCATTGAAGTGCAAGCCATTTTAATTAAGTTGGTTTTGGTTTGAAGAACCATTTTCATTAAAACTCTCTAAATAAAATTGGGCAACTCGAGCCTAACCTGAGTTATGATTGATTGACCATCCAATCCGCCCCCGAATTTTGTAGACTGGGGCATAAGGTCATGAACAATACTTGGCTACAACTTGGCCAATTCACATAACATCTTATTTATAATTGAAATTGTTATAACCATAGGCATGATATTTTGTGAAAAAGTTGAAAGTGTTTTTGAGAAAAATTCCTTCATAACCTTGAGTAGCCAAGTATTATTTTAAAGTCATTGACTCATTGTTGCCGTTGGGCAAGAAAAGCTGCCTACTTTATGGATAGACTATTTATGAAAATCACAACTTTTGTGGAGCAAAAAGATGGCTTCTGAGATCAAAATTGAAGTGATCCACAAGGAAACAATTAAACCACTCTCTCCAACTCTTGACCACCTTAGAAGCTTGAGCCTCTCTGTTTTTTATTAATATCAACCTCAAATTTATTTCCCACTACTTTTCTTCTATCCCAACAACAATAACAACGACAACGGTGAGGTCAAAAATATCGATAATCGTTCTTTGTTTGCCGAAAGATCTAGCCTTCTAAAGAAATCACTGTCTGAAGCCCTCACTCGATTCTACCCCTTCGCCAGAGATTTCAAATACAATGTTTCAATCAGCTGCAATGACCATGAAGTTGCATTTGTTGAAAAGTAAATTGCTTACTAATTTCTTGTTAGTAAATGATTTACTTATTCAATTTACCTTTTTCCTATTGTATAACTATTTTCTGTTGTGATAACTTATGCTTATATGCCAAGTGTAGGGTCTTAGATCAGTTTTCATTTTCAATGGCTCACATGCCTTGTAAGTGCCATGTGTCATAATCACAATGGCTCATGTATTTGAATGGTTGTGATGACTGATGTAAGAAAATGATCTATATGAATGAAATGCATCATTCTGCAACGGTTAGAATGTTGCAGGGATTATTCCATTTCTCACTCTAGCTTTTCACTCTCTCTTTGCATTCTCTTGCTCCCTTCGTAATCCAAGAGTTCATAAATGAAAGACTACTCAAATCTCAACATGGTATCAAGAGCCTAGTTTCTATCTGGAATCGAGGCGTCGAATCTGTGAGTGATGTGCTCAGAAATCCAACGTGAAATTTCCGACTCAGTTCGTCGATTCAGGTCTCAGATGGCTGGGTCAGGTGGTAGTGATATTCGGGCTCCAATATTCAATGGTGACAACTATGAATTTTGGAAGATCCGAATAAGAACTATTTTCAAATCACATGGAATATGGGATCTAGTTGAAAAGGGTCTTGAAATCTCATAATCGAAAGGGAAGAAGGTCGATACGGAAGGGTCATCGAAATCAGAGAAAGGATCTCTGAACGAAAAGTTAATGAAGGATGCTAAGGCACTGGGTATTATCCAAGGAGCTGTCTTGAATGGCATTTTCCCCAAAATCTCAAACGAGGAGACCTCAAAAGGTGCTTGGGATATCTTATATCAGGAATTTCATGGTGATAAGCAAGTGAGATCCATCAAGTTGCAGAGTCTACGTCGTGATTTCAAGTACACAAGGATGAGGGATAATGAAACCTTGTCTGTGTATCTCACTCGTCTTCTCGAGTTGGTGAATCAGATGAAAAGTTATGGGGAAGATTTACCCAAAGCTTGACCAAAGAATTTGACCCTGTTTGCTATGTGATTGAGCAAACTAAGGACATTGAAACTATTAAGGTGCAAGAGGTAATTGCCACATTGAGGGGATTTGCATAGTGTCTTGATAGGCATGCTGAGAGTACCACTGAGAGAGCTTTTAGTAGTATGAGTGTAAATCCAAAGGGAACTCAACCAAATCCTTTCTTTGGTAGCTCTAAGCCAAAGAAGAACTGGAAATCAAAGGGTAAGAAATGAGACCCTAAACCTCAGAACTCTGTCAATTAAGGTGGCAAATATGATCAAAGAGGAAAACCAGATCAGGCTAAGGGAAAATGCAAACATTGTGATAAGCTACACAAAGGTGAATGTTCGTTTAAAGGAAAGCCAAAATGCCATGGTTGCAATCGATTTGGTCACTTCATCAAGGACTGTGATCAACCAAACAAGGCTGGAAAGCTTGTAAACTTTGCCAATTAGGTAACAGAACCTGCAACCATGTTTTATGCCTGTCATTCTGCTACTATTGGGAGAAATATGAACATATGGTATGTTGACAATGCATGTAGTAATCATTTGACCTCTCATGAATCTTTGCTTATTGATGTTGATAAGAATGTGAAGTGTAGAGTTAAAATGGGCACTGAAGATTTAGTGCAGTCAATAGGCAAAGGTACCTTGGCTATAGAAATGAAGGGTGTAACTAGATATATTAAAGAGGTTATGATTGTACTTGGATTGGATGAAAATTTGTTGAGTGTAGGACAGATGGTAGAACATGGAAATTGGCTTACGTTTAGTGATTATATGGTTGATATTTATGGGGATAGACAGATGGAAGATTTGATTGCAAATGTCCAAATGAAAGGAAACAGGTGCTTTCCCTTAGGTTTAGAATATGTCAATCATCTTATGGCTAATAGAGCAACTATTGAAGAGTTATCTTGGTTGTGGCATAGAAGATATGGACATCTAAACTACATCAGTTTGATGCTTCTACAAGAGAAGGAAATGATGCAAGGTTTACCTAGACTACAAGTCATTGAGCATGTTTGCTCTGGATGTGCTACAGGGAAGGGTCACAGAGAACCATTCAATAAGGAAAAGGCTTGGAGAGCAACACAACCTCTAGAACTGATACACTATGATATCTGTGGTCCAATGCAGATCAATACTCTTGGAGGAAACAAATTCTTTCTTACCTTTATTGATGATCACACTAGAATGTGTTGGGTGTTCTTTCTGAAGCACAAATCACAAGAAAAATGGAGGGACTGATGCGATGCCCCATGGCAGCCATTAACGAAGGAGAAAATAGGAAGAGGAAAAAAATCTCTCTTTCTTCCTCATCAATATTGGCGACGAGGGGTAAAGCAACCCATCCTTTTAATAGGGAGCATTGCCTTGAAAACCCAGTCACCATCAAAAGATGCTTCGTTATCTCCTTCCTCCTTGCTAGGAGCCTCAACACAGGACTCTTGCAGTCTGCGGCACCACCTCTTTCTTCCACCGACAATACCAAAACGGGGTGTGTTCAGGTTAGATCTGTCCCTCGCATAACTCTCCTGGGTCTTGCATGTCTGGCAAGGTTTGCTGCTTGGTGTAATGCAATATGAGTTTGTTATTAGTTTGAATATGCCTTTGTAGGGCCTTTGTTAGGCATTGAGGCTTACAATAAAAACCAATATGGGTTTGAGCGTGACACTGTTACCTTTGTATAACAGATTGTTCTTTTTTTGTTTATTAAATGGGTTGATTACTTGCACCACAAGTTATTTAGACATCTTAGTTCGATTGGATTGTTTACAGATTGGTTAAGTTGCGCCACAAGTTATTTAGACGTCTTAGTTCGATTGAATTGTTTACATATTGGTTAAGTCTATATAAGATTTTTTTTTTTTTTTTTTTTTTGCCTTGTAAACAAAGACTTTTACTCATAATATCATATGTCCAACTAAAGGGAGTTCAGGGCCCTTCAAACTACTCTTTGGTTACAGTTATGAGTTAACAATAAAGACGCAAGGTCAATTAGTTTAGCAAGATTAATCATA